GGTGTTCTCGGACGCCGGAAACCACGCCTCCATGATCCAGGGCATGCGCGCCAGCGGCGCCGCGCGCTTCCTCTTCCGGCACAACGACCCCGCCCACCTGGCGGAGCTGCTGGCGCGCAGCCCCCCGGGGCGGCCCCGCATCGTGGCCTTCGAGTCGCTGCACTCCATGGACGGTGCGGCCGGAAGCGGAAACGGGGCCGGAAGCGGAACCGGGGGCCCGAAATCCCCCCATCTGCCCCCATGTGTTCCTATAGGCCCCCATATATCCGTATACCCCCACGCGCCCCTATGTGCCCCTGTATGTGCCCGTATACGTGCCGCTATCCTTCCCTATCCCGTATATCCCAGACACACGCGCCCCTATGGGCCCCTATATGTGCCCCTATATGTGCCCCCATCCATCCCTATCCCGTATATCCCAGACACACGCGCCCCTATGTGCCCCTATATGTGCCCCTATATGTGCCCCCATACATCCCTATCCCATATATCCCATACACACGCGCCCCCTATAGGCCCTTATAGGTGTCCTTATACATCTGTATCCCATATATCCCATATGCGTGTGGTCCCCATAGCCCCCCATAGCCCCCCATAGCGCCCCATAGTGGCCCATAGCCCCCCCATAGCGCTCCATGGCGCCCGCCCCACACGTTCGCTGTCGCCCCCAGGGTCGGTGGCGCCGCTGGGCGAGCTCTGCGCCGTGGCCCACGCGCACGGGGCCCTGACCTACGTGGACGAGGTGCACGCCGTGGGACTCTATGGGGCGCGGGGGGGCGGCATCGCCCAGCGCGACGGCCTCGAGGGCAGCGTCGACATCGTGGCCGGCACCCTGGGTGAGGCGCTATGGGGTGATATGGGGCTCTATAGGGTGCTATGGGGCAGGAATGAGTGCTATGGGGCTCTGTGAGGTTCTATGGGGCGCTGTGAGTCCATGGGTGGCCCTATGGGTCCCTGGTGGTCCCCGTGGCTCCCTGTGTGTCCCCACCTGTGCCCTGTGTGTTGCATGGGTCCCTATGGGTCCCTATGGGTCCCTATGGGTCTCTGTGTATCTCTCCAGGGAAGGCGCTGGGCTCGGTGGGCGGGTACATCGCAGGCCCCGCCCCCCTGGTGGACACTGTGTCACATGTGTCCCTGTGGGTCTCTATGGGTCTCTTTGTGTCTCTATGGGTCCATACCTGTCTCTGTGGGTCTCTGTGGGTCCCTGTGTGTCCCCAATGTCCCTATATGTCCCCCCAGGGAAGGCATTCGGCTCGGTGGGCGGGTACATCGCAGGCCCTGCTGCCTGCTCGGTGTCATGTCCCATGTGTCTTTATGGGTCCCTATGGGTCCCTATGGGTCTCTATGGGTCTCGGTGTATCGCATGTCTCTCTATGGGACCCTATGGGTCCCAGTGTCTGTGTATGTCTAGGTGTCCCTACCTCTCCCTGCCTGTCCCTAGGGGGCCCTATGGGTCCCTATGGGTCTCTGTGTGTCTCTATGGGTCCAGACTGGTCCTTACGGGTCGCTATGTCCCCAGGGAAGGCGCTGGGCTCGGTGGGCGGGTACATCGCGGGCCCCGCCCCCCTGGTGGACGCCGTCCGCTCCCTGGGC